TATATATTATATATACACTGGAGTTTAATAAGTGTGATCTAACAGTGTACGCACCCTGGCAGTCCTCAGCATTGAGCCCATCCATGATCCGGATGTTGTCCACAGCTATGTGACCTGTGCTGCGTCTGTGTGCAACACCCTCCACCACCACCTGCAAACACCCCGAAGAAAAACAGTTATTCACATAGAAACCCAGAGTTTCAGATACGCAGCTCAAAAGCAATAAATCTCATCTTTAACTGTATTTTTGTGTCGTGTGTCGAAATAACAATGAATGTGTTATTTTTTAATTTATACATTTCTTACATTTTCTTCACAAATTCAGGTGAAACTGTCAGAGGGAAACTTTTAGATTCTAGTTCTTCCCACCGAACATTTTACACAGTATTACCTGATAAGAGACGCTGGAGTGCGGCAGTAAGACCCGTCCCTCCCTCCAGCGTTTGTCCTGATGTCCCCTGAGTGTCCACAGCGTCTGCTCCCCTTCGGCCTCCTTCCTCTGCTTGATGTGCAGCGCCCCCACGTGGTCACCTGACATGTGATACCAGAAGGACATGCACAGGTCGGCGTCCGGCGCCGTGATGGGCAGGCTCGCCAACCTCGCCCACTTTTCCTCTTCGTCCTCGGCTGTTTTGCTGTACACGTCTGTGTCCATCAGCTGCATGTAGATGAAGTTCCCTGGTCTGCCTGCAGGGGACAGCACAAGACAAGGTAAAAAAACGGACTCCTGGCAGCTCGGAAACACACGACTGCAGATCATCAAACACTTCAAATAGTAATTTTTACCATAAATTAAAAATAACACCATTTAGGAATGTAACGGAGACTCAGTGATGCAGATTTCTTTGGATTATATACGAACACAAGGTTTCCAAAACTCCCAGGGTTCATTACACGTTCACTTTATTCCATTCGCATGTTTGCATAATGTATAACGTTCTGTCTTTTCATGGAATAAAAGTCTGTGTGACTGTTAATATTTCACTCCTGCGGCTCCTAGAGGCATGAAACAAATTCAAGGTTTCAGTGTTTTCTGACAACTCAGGACTCAATAAGCGTCGCTGCAGGAAAACATCTGACCCGACATCACAAAGGGCTCGTTTATTTATCTGTGATCTGGGTGAGTCAAGAAATCAAGGTGAAATTGTTAATTCCAGAGGCGCAGCCTTAGAAGAAGAAAGAAATCCATCACAGGAGCGTTGAACGGAGAGAAGGCCGCAGAGCTGAGGCACGTTGATGGATTTCAGAGCTGTAGTTCTGGAGCATTTCATGGCCGTCCGTTCATTTTCAATTATTTTAAGGCTCAGAGCATCTTCGAGTTCTCGGGCTTCCATCAGAGTTCTGTCTCTGAAACGCTGCTGATGTTTTCTGTGTCTGAATCTGGATTTTATTGTTTCGGGTGGGGGTCATGTTTATTTGTTGATCTATTTATTTAACAGAGTAAAAATCATTTACTTTAAGGTGACATTTACTTTGTTCCTGTAGTGAAATCTCTATTTGACGTTTTATTCATGGTTTTGGATCTGTACATCTGTGTAACTCTGATTTATTGTGATATATTACATTGTTTTATCTGTAATTTTATCTGTAATTCATTATTAACTTCCAGAGAAAGAGGGTCGGACAAGGCTTTCAACACAGTGTTCTCCCAGAGCACCTGTCGAATGATGCTGGTGAGAAAAAGAACGCCTGTCTCGTACCTGTGTGGTCGTGTGTCGGTCCTCTGTGAATGGCGGGAGCGTTGTTGGTCTGGATGAGCCACTCGGCACCGTTTCCTGGTTCTTTGGACCAGCCGCAGAAAGACGAGAACTCAAAGTTACAGGCGAACCACACGTACGCTGCAGAAAAGAGAAAACAGAAATTATTAGGAGCAGGAGACGACAAAGTCCGATACACTATGTGAAATATTTAATCTGATATTTTCTGCCGATTCATTACGACTCAAAATGATTTTAGGGCTCTAAGTGATACGATGACCCAGCGTTTATCAAGAAATTCCTCTTTAAGGGAATATTTTTTGCCAGCGACAGCCCGTCCATCCGTCTCTTTTTTCTACAGACGATATCTCAATTACAACTTGAGGGAATTTCTTCAAATTTGGTACAAACGTTCATTTGGACTCGCTGCCACCTTGTGAACACGATTCCTCAGGAGCAGCTCCAGGGAATCCTGTCACCTTTGGTACAAATGTTCAATCAGACTCACGAAGCAACTGATTCGAGTTCAGTGGTCAAAGGTCACAGTGACATCATAAAAAGACGTTTGTAGACTGAAACAACACTGGTTGATGGCGGCACACAACCACAGAGCGATCATTTTAGATTTGTGTGTTCCTCCACAGATGTGAGAGATGGGGGAGGAAGAAGAGGCGGTGGTGGTGGTGGTGGTCCAGGAACAGTTGTGTAACTCATGTATTTAAGTACTCAGACTGGTTATAGATGTAAATAACATCTTTACGTTCATTACATCCAATATGCTGATACACATCCTTCTTAAAACGCTGCTGCGTGTCAAGCTGCACGAAGTCAGACACTACGATCCTGTAAGTTTCAGGCGGAGGTGGAGGAGGGTGAGACGGCCCTAAGAAATAAAAGCGAGCCTTGTAACATCGATATAACAAAGCTGTTCCTGCTGTATTGTACACTCGGTATAAATTGTGTAGCTTGTGGGAAACGTATTGCACGAAACAAAAAGCTTGTACCGACGGAATGAAAAGGAAGAAGGGTTGTGATTGTGTGCGCTGCGCTGCGCTGCCGGGCATTTTCCCTGAAACACAGGAACCGAGACGGCACCGCTGATCGAAAACAGCGACACATACACATACATGTGTTTGGGATCAGGACATCAAGAGAGGGAGAGAAGGAGCGAGGGAGAGGAACAGAGGGACCTTCCACAGAGAAGGGCGTGGTGCCACCAATATGCGGATGTGGCCCCTGAAAAAAAAACTCAAACATAAAAAACCTACATCTCCCTCCCTGTTTCTCTGCCTGTGCCAGCGGTCGACTGGCGGCAGTGGTTCACCACAGCACCCAGACGAATGCACGAGTCTCAAACACTGGACATGTTGTTTCTGAGAGGCTAATAGGATGCAGAGATGACCGTGGAGCTGCAACCCTCCTCCCCTCCAACCCCGAGCTGTCTTCACGCCATGCTTCAGCTCTAATTGAGACCCAAGAGGCCTTTCTTCTCTCACTCCACTCTCTCACTACACCTCCATCCATTCCTCTGTTTTACCTCTTCCTCCTCTTCCCTCTCACCCAGCTTTTTTCTATCTCATCTCTATTCATTCCTCCTGCTGGCACTTCCTCTCTTTTCTTTCTCTGCCTCCCTCTGTCACTGCGACCATTTATTCCACCTTTCCGTCCGTTCATCCCTCTCGCTCTCTGTCTGGCAGTTAAGTGTCTTTACTGGGATAATAAACTGTGAAATGATACTCAGACGTTAATGCAGAAAAACAAACCAAGCTGTGAATGTGTCTGCAGACGAGCCAACCTCAGGGTCTCTTAAACTGTTTGCAGACACGAACTCCAGAAAATCTCCAGACCCAATTGGAAATTTAAATTTTCTGGCAGCACGAGATCGTTCGGGTCACACGTGCTCACAACAGCAGGAAAACGTCCGGAACATGAGACGTTGAGCAGCAGGAGGCAGAACATAAATTCTGCTGTGCAAATCCTGTTTTTGTTTACACCACAGCAACACCAGCGTCGACAACACCTTATCTCCTAAAGCTCTGGAATCTCCTCGTCTTTCCGAGTCGACGTCTTCGTCTTCTACGTTTACTCTTTTTAATCCTGAGATATTTGTGTTCTTCCAGTTTCATGTCTGAAAACAGTTCATGTGCACCAGCACCAGCAATGATCTTTGAGAAAAATGTATTTGACTTTTTAGTTTGGTCCATGTCCTATTTGTCAACACGGAGGAGGCAGGATTTATAACCTCGACTGCAGCCAGCCACCAGGGGGCGATCAAGGCGCTTTGGCTTCTGTTTTGGGAGCAGTCACGTCTTTATACAGTCGACGGACGGGAACACTGACGCACTAATCTGGTGCATTCATTTGTAATTTACATCTACTTTGAGAAGTTTCGAGGACAGATGACAGGTAGATAGAAAAAAGAGAAAGAGAGAAAATGAAAAATGAAAGAAGGCGAGAAGAGAAGATGAGGAGAGGGATGAATTAAAGATGAGAAGAGTAAACATGGAAGCAGATGGTGGTGGACATCCTCACCTGGCATGAAGTCAGTGCTTGGGTCAGCCGCTGCGAAGCCTCCTGCTACAAACAGATGGGAGAGTGGAAGTGAGGTCAAAGGTCAAAGGGGGCGGGTCCCACCCACACAGATGCCGACACACGCTCACTTCATTTTAGGAGAAATTAATACGACGCATCTCAAACAGGGAGAAAAAATCCATTAGAGTCAACGTTCAAACAACGACGCAAAACTCAAACTGTGAGGAGGACGGAGAATATTTTACCGACGCAAACATTTAGATGTTTTTTAAATATTTGTTTTCACTCTGATCTTTTTCATTGCTTTGCTAAAAACGTTCCAATTAGTTTTTTCAAACATCATAAATTATGTTGGGGACAAAGTAAAAAGGAGTTTTGGTGACGTACCTGTCACCACGTCGTAGATGTCGGGCGCCTCCGTCTCGCCGCCACAGTCCTGTTCTCCCTCCTCACAGTCCGGGGCCTGGGTGGTGCCCGGCACGGTGGTCGGGGCCGTGGTGGTGGCACCGAACGTGGTCATTGGAAGCGTAGAGACGATGGCCGTGGTAGGGGGCGCTGTCGTTGTAATTTCTGAATGGAAAAGAGAGAGAGTGTCAGAGAGAGCGAGGTGGAGATTGATTGATTGTGTGTGTGTGTGTGTGTGTGTGTGTG